TATCTATCTATCTATCTATCTATCTATCTATCTATCTATCTATCTATCTATCTATCTATCTATCTATCTATCTATCTATCTATCTATCTATCTATCAAAGAGGCTTTGTCTTAACGATATGATGTCGTGGACCTGTAAGTGTTATGTTCTTGTCAGACTTTCCGAGTTTTCAAGAAGACTAGTTGTAACATTGCGTTTGGATTTTAGCTGGGGTGTTCATACGTCATTACATTAAACGCCTTGTACCCCCAAGACAACAACCAAACAAAACACCAACCCAATACCACAACAAAAGACATCCGCATCAACACTAACGTAACCACAAATGAAAAAAAAAAAAATGAAACAACGACCGAGACCCATTTTTTACGTTTAACGTTCAGTATCTTTCGCGGCCGAGATTAATGATATTTTTTTAAACGTTAAGTATATTTTATGTACCTTTAGTGTTCGCGTATATCGCCGGGACTGGTTGTTTTCGTCACTGACCTATTTTCGGGTGTATTTAGCTAGTTTGTTGTGCCGATGTTGAACTTTCGCGAAAAATTATAAATGTGGCCTTCCGTTGACCCTTCGACCCAGGAGACATAATAACAGAGCGAGTTCTCTACGTGAGGGTGTTGTCGCGAACGGACAAGAAAAGATTGTATAGATTTGATGGTGGCTTCAGTTTTGGAGACTCGTTGAAGTAAGACCTTGGACTTTTGTGTATAGGGGAAACGAAGGAAGAAGTGAAAAGGATTTTGATTTCGCTGAGAAAAAACAACAACCCAACAACCCCAATCCCTTGAAGTAAGTACAAAACAGTTGTGAAGTGCTGACTGGTTGCGCGCCATGGAAAAACCACCCAGCGATGAGAACGCGCAGACGCTGTCGCCCCCGCCAGGCGAGCCGCCGAAGCAGCAAGAACAACAACAGCAAGAACAACAACAGAGTCTGCTGACGCCCGCTGCCGCCGCGGCGGCGGTAAATCTCCACGCTGATGGAGCGAACGGCGACGGCGGCTGCGACGCCAGCGGTTGCGGCGGTGGGGACTTGGTCAAGCGTCGCAAGAGCGCGTCCGGCGTGGCGGACGGCGTGAGCGGCATTGGCTGGACGCGGCGGCGCTGTAGCCGGTGTGGCGTGGCCGTGAGTGAGTACCTACCAACCTACCAACCAACGACGCGGGAAAGTTTGGGTTTTGAGAGGAGGGGGTGGAGGGAGGGATGTAAAGAAGAAAAAGGGGGTGGGTGGGTTATATGGTCAGATGGGTGGGAGGGGCCCACTGCTTGGTATCCCGTCCCTACTCACAGCAGGATAGATGAAAAGATGGATGGATTTTCTGTTTTATTTATGATCTCCTTTTCTCCCGTGCTATTCCCCATGATGCTTCAATCGGATTTGTGTAGAGATATCGTAATGGTTTGTTGTAATATTTTTCTCCTGCAAGAAGGGACCCTGAATTGTTCCGAAAGTTGTAGTGTGGTATGTTACTCAATATGTAGTCTGCCTGTCTGTTTATCTAGCTGTCTATCTCCTTTTCTGTCTATCTGTCTGTATGCTGTATGGCTGTCTCCATATATGTCTGTCTGTCTGTGTCTGCCCCCCC